TTGTATGCATACATACATCGATGACATTTCCTACGTTCTTCAAGATTTGGCCATCTCAAGACTGTTAATGCATCAGTGGATGAGGAGTGAAGTGATCTATCTAATATCAACTTAGCTGCTTTGTTTTGCAGAATTTGCAATTCCTTCATTAGTGTGACATTGTCCTTGTCACCCCTGACTAAATCAGCATAATAAAAAATAGGTAGCACCACTGAGCTATTATAAAAAAAGTAACCGGGCATTATAAGGTAAATAATACTTAATCCCACGTAAAAGACCAAGGTTTTTTTTAACCTTGCATGAAATAAACTCATCATGGTCGGACCAAGTAAAAGTCTTGTTTCTATTGTTCGCTGGAAATTGAGCTGAAAAAAAAATGGTTTTGTCAATGAAGATAAAGGGTTGTTCTGACATCAAGAAACAACTTAAGGGGGTAATAAAGTCATGTAAGGCATGAGTAGCGATGTCATTCTTGACCCGTTTCGCGCAATTAAGACTACTTTACGTTTTCCCTTCATTTCTATTTTCTTCCAAGGACGATGAGTTTTAAGGCTCACCAGAGAAACGCAGACTGCATGTTAGGACACCATGATGTCCTCGATAGCCACCAACTTTGCACCCTTTCGGAACATTAGCACCGTAGTTTCATATTCTTGTTACTTCCAATTCTCCGCAGATAGGCCCGCGGCAAGTGGGGCAGCGGGAATCCCCTTTCCTCTTATGCTCAGTCACACATATCCTACAGTAAAGCAAATGTGTGCAAGGCATAATGACACAGTTACGTTGTCGTTCAAAACAGATTTGGCACAGTTCCGATCCTCTAGATTGTTCTAACTCTCTCTCTAACTGGCTTATTCTTTCATTGTTTTTCATGTGGCTCTCTTCTGCATCTTTAAACTTCTGCTCGAACTCTATCCTCACTTCGTCAGAAACCTTCCCGCGTTGAATTTCAAAACTTTGGCGTACTTCAGAAAGAGTGGGTTCAAGTTTGTAGTTTCTCTCCAACACTGCCTGAGCAGTTCTCAGTATGTCCAGTTGGCTTTTGAGGTCCAATTTAGCGTCTTTTAACTTTGTCACACTTTCCACCAAAGATGAGAGCTGTGATCTTATGTAACTCATCTGCGAAAACTTTGATGCAGTTTCTTTGTCAATTTGACCCCTGGACAGCTGACCTACAAATACTTGAGAAAAAAAAAAAACCAACAAACACGCACACACACACACACAAAACCATGGATTAAGCCTTTAACTTTCTTAACCGTCATCGACCAGCGTAAAATTTTTAAAACTTAAAGATTATTTTTGGCGTATTAATCAGTGGACGCTAACATGGGCTCCTTATGACAACTTTCAAGTGCACGACACTTCTGTTCTACAAATTGCTTTCTTAGCGCATGTCGCCACACATGTGAAAGTGTATCTCACTGCACAGTTTTAATGAAACTCTTCTTATTCAACGATTTAAGTACCAACCTTGGCCATGTTTGTATTCGCGATACTCTGTGACACCATGAGGCCAAGTGAAGAGAGCTATGCCGTCCAGTGATCCATCCTTCCAGATCCCTTCCTGGATGGTCCCATTCGGTAACTTTAAGGTTCCATATCCTGACATTTTATCGTACTGCCACAGACCTTCATAGATAGCACCGGATATAAACGTCATCTTTCCATGACCATGCCTAGCAAACAGAGGAGTAGACATAAGGCAAAAATCTCTCTCTTTTTAAGGCTAAAAGTAAAAATTTGCATTGTGTTGCCCTGCGTAGCTGTTCATACAGTTTTCACCAAACAGTCACTTCTCTCTTGGCAGACACCTCCCTGCACAGACCATGGGGCTAAGGCGGGATTTCCAGAGAGGGGAGTGGGTCTACACGCGCTTTTCATTAATATTTGGAAGTATGCCAAGTTGGTTCGTTATGATTTATTGACTAGAAATACAAATAAGAGGTTACATACAGACTCCCAACCACTAGGTCCGCCTTTAGTAGGCTTGGACTCCATATTCTTGCTCTTCCAACTCTGGGCCGATATTGGCTCATTCTTCTCTAACTACGGCTCCTCTGAAGCGAGGTCACCTTCAAATTTGGTTATGAATAATTCATGATGTCCACCCATTCTGCCCTATGCTTGCTCAAGACAGTTTACATTAGAGCTCTGCCGCTTTAACAACTTAATAATGTAACTCTTCTTCCCCCCACACCTCATGTTATTCTTCCATCCACCAGTGTAAAAGCCATCTTCATTAATTGCAGGGCTGTCACTTTCTGGTGGTACTGCCAGAATAAAGCCTTCCCCTTTACCGTGTCTCATACCTGCAACGCAAGTATCAATGACAGTAAGTTTCGATGATAAAAAAAAAAGCTGCTTTACTGTCCTTACACCTTCCTCCTGTTCTTACTGTAACTTTGTTTCAATTAAGAGTAATAACGCTTTGACCTCTGAAAATCTGTGATGTCATCAACAGCAGGAATGAGTGAACAATTTCGTTTTCGCTCACAGAATGATCCTCAAGTCGTGAAACACGAAACAAAAACCCTTCTCCAAAATGTCTGAGTCAACTTCATTTGGTAGGGTAGCTCCAATTTAAGGAGTCTGGGAGGCCCTGAATAAAGGAATCAAAGGTCCTTTATGGAGGGCAATACTGGACAAAATTGTTATTAGATCGTGTGCGGTGAGGCATTATATCGTACTGCATGGTTATGCAGCCGGAGGTACTATATCGTACCCGGTATGTTGTCTTATCGTAATGGCGATGCCATTATGTCGTACCACATGTTGCTATATCGTGCTCGATAATGCTACATGGTATCCGGTGTGTTGTTGTATCGTTGCAGAGATGCCGTCTCATCGTACCCGGTGTATTGTTACGTCGTAGCAGCGATGCCGTTTCATCGTACCATATGCTGCTATGTCGTACCCGATAATGCTATATCGTACGTCTAACTGGTCAGCGGCTTACACTTGAAGTGACGTCACGTGACCACTGGGATAAAAAGGTCAGCGGTTTTATTTTAGGCTCGTGGTGTGGCTTATCGTACTTTTTCTGTGAAAGACTTATTCTTTTTAAATTGTGAAAAAGGTAATGATATGGAAGGCCAACACCAGTCTCCGTTTGAACTGGTCTCCACGAATATCCCTCTAGCTCTGTTAATGCGTTTCTTAAAATGGATGTGGTTCTTGCTATGTGATCTTGATCTGACATATCAATAGATTAGAGGAAAGAAACACACACCTAAGCTAAAATCTCTACTTGTCCAATACCGCGTTTCAAGAGAAGTAAAAATCGAGAACTATCGCATTCTAGAACACGTGATGTCAGTTTCGCGCCAATTTCACCGTAAGCCGCTGACCAGCTATAGACGTACGATAAAGCATCACCGGTTACGATATAGCATTATCGGGTACGACATAGCAGCATATGGTACGATGAAACGGCATCACTGCTACGACGTAACAATACACCGGGTACGATATAGCATTATCGACTACGATATAGCATTATCAGGTACGATGAGGCGGCATCTCTGCTACGATACAACAACACACCGGATACGATGTAGCATTATCGGGCACGATATAGCAGCATGTGGTACGACATAATGGCATCGCCATTACGATAAGACAACATGCCGGGTACGATATAGTACCTCCGGCTACATAACCATGCAGTACGATATAATGCCTCACCGCACACGATCTAATAACAGTTTTTTCTATTATTCCCCTCCATAGTCTTTTTCAGTTGGAACGTCGAGGCATCTTATGACTACAGAATCTTACAGTACAATTTCAATTGCCCATACAAGCTACGTAGAAACTGCTAACTCAAGGCAGCTTGATAATGTAAGTTATGCTGTCCAAGATATTCACCTCTGCACCAGTCTCCTCTGTATAAAAGTCTCCCTGTCACCGCTTTCAGGCTTCCATGTCCATGAGGAAGTTTCCGCTGACCTCTCGCCCTGCCATTGACTACCTGGGAGCTTAAAGGACCGTCAACCTGACATAAACATTGCAACACATCCTTGCTGGTCATTGCTTTGACTTGGTAGCTGGTGAAAGGGTTTCTTGCATAGTAACAAAGCATTCTGGTTTTAAGTGCGATCTCTTCGAGATTGGCACGAATGGTCGGCATTTTAACCTGAGACGATTCTGAGCAAGAAGAGAACAGAAAATTAAAATATCTAATAAATGACTAAGAATCTCGAAGGTGTTTCGTGGTATAGTTAACAAAAAGAAACATTTTAGGGCGTTCAGTCTCCAAGGTTGCCATTTCTGGCACATAATAACCGTCCGATCACAGGCGAATCTCTTCACGAGAGGGAATACGCGGTTGTGATTTTGGGGAATATGTGACACCGAGTAATTATTTCCACTCAAAATGATAACTCTTCCTGGACACTAGGTTTATTTAAACAGCGTTTTCTCAGCACGTTGGATCGAATCATTTGCACTAAATCTAAATCTGTCACGCATTCCCACATTTTTCTTGAATTATCTCAAGTCTGTAATATTCCAGGAACTTCTTTCATGTGACTCAGCAGTTTCCGAAAAAAAGGACAACTTGTAATACGCTTTAAATAGTAATAGAACATTCTAGATACCTTAAGTAAATGTATAAAAGCTGGCTTGTGAGAAGTACAAGAAAGATTTTCCCGAGGGCTTACCCTCGTGGCCGGCTGACTGAACTTGTGGAAGCTATGATGTGACGAGGCTATGACTTTTTGACCTTGCGATATCCGGAAAGAAGAAAGAGAAGAAAAAGACGATAGCCCAGAAAGGAAGAAGATAAAGAACTTAGAGTTCACTATGAAGTCCTCCGGGAGAGTTTGTGTACACGGAAAGAATGCAATGAATCAAGAAAGCCAAGCGTAGAGGTCTTCAGTCGGTGGAAGTTGGAATATTCGAAGTTGATCAAGACGATGAATACTTATACGGCATGAAGGATTGTAAGCCTGCTTTAGGAACTGCTTAACTTAATCTTTAACCTAAGTAAATTAGACAGTGTAAAACTAATTAAATAATAGTTGCAATGGGTAACTGCTTGTTGTTACATTTTTGTTGCGTGCCTTATATCGTACTCGGGAGTCTATTCTTATGTATGCTTTGTTAGCGGACATCTCTTGGTCATTCGTGCACGTAACAAAATTAAATGTTTCAATGTGCTGCCGACTATTCAAAACTTTCTCACTTTCGAGAGTCACACTCCGCAGCATGCAGGAAGCGTGTCTAAGCGGATTACACCCGTCCCTAATCAGGAGCACCTACACACCACCCGCTTGAGCAGTAATAATAACATTTATTATTACACGACTCGGGCAGTCAGAGGGCCAATAACTAAAATCAACCAATCTAAATGCTCTATTGCCGGTCCAATATTCTCCAGTATTGGACCGGGCACTGTCCCGAATGGTCCCGAATGATACCACACTTGTGTCCCTTTGAACTTCAGTCGTATAATAAATCTCTTATTAACCAAGCTTGCTTGGGACCGTACTGGAGACCCCCGGTCTTTTTTGTACGGACCGAGCGCAGCTCGGTCCGTACTGTCAAGACCTCGGGCCGATATTCTCCCAGTACGGCCCTCGCGCTTGGTTAATAAGGTATATTTATAGGTTAATCAAGTACTATTATCGGTAATTAACGCTTGTCGTGTTGCAAGGAGAGAGTTAATAAAAACAGTACAAACATGCAAACATTCAGGAACAGCTTACATTTTTTGGAATTTCTAATCGTTTTCAAGGGAGCTTTTTTATCCATACGAATCAGAGCTTTTTTGCTTTTCTTGTAGCGATAAAAACATGGCAACGAGGAAATCACTATCAAACAATCAATGCTATTGTTGTAGACAACACTATTCACATTCTCAATTGCATACCTATTTTCACTCATAATTATTATTTTTGTTTTCGTCATTTCAATATCAATGCAAATAGGAAGTCATCCTTCAAAGTCGACCTTAAGTAGAAAACAGCTGATAACAATAGTGTACATTACAAAACTCTATGAGCAAACACAGATATCAGTATTAGTAAAATGAAACCACCTGGAGATGAAGTATTATTTGATGGACCAGCTGATACATCAGTACTCATTGAGTTCAACGTGATCAATCTTTGAAAAAAACTTCTTTGAATTTCTGCACTGCGCATCAGCCCCACCAGCGGATCCTTTAGCTCACACAATAGATCCCTCGAGTCGCCCTCATGATTCTCCTCTAAGCTTTCTGTGTGGCTAGTCTCCGGTCTATATGAACCTGTGTCACTGTGGCCTGCAGATCTGGCAGTTTTCCGTCCCAGTTCGAGTAACACTAGCTTGTGGAGACAGTTTTGGATTTGCATGCACTTGATAATGCTCCCAAGCAGAGAGGGCATGAGGTATTTTCCAATTGAAACAGTCACGATTGGCACTTGCTCTGATTCTTCTGCTGATTGGTGGGACACGTCACTGGGAACAGCCAATGGTTGTGCGGTGGAATAATAAGAGCTCTGTGACGGTTGCTCTTGAGCATCGTTTGTGCTAGAATCTGTGATCACTGGTAACAAATGCAAAATATCCTTAGGACAGAACTCAAAAAAAATTGTCCGTGAAGGATTGTTGAGAATCTAAACTTTTTATAATTCCTTTGAGCTTTGCTGTCATTTACATACAGCAAGTCGTTTTAAGGTGCATGCAAAACAGGAAATTCATATTATTCTATCTTGATTACTTTACAATAAATTGTGTAAATAAACTGAACATGTTCCCCATGTTAGTGAAAGTTAAAGTATAAAATGAATAACTCTCTCTCTTACTCGGGCTTGGATCGTTCGTTTCAACCCTTGAATTGGACCAACAATGTGATGTAACGCCTCTTGAATACTGACTAGCTGAGCTTTTGAACGGCTTAGTTACCCTTTTAGTTTTTCGTTTCCTCACCAACTTATAGTCCTCTAAACGCAGCTCCTAAACGGTTTTCAAAGATAGGTACATTAATAAAAAAAATATTTGAGCTCATTAAATATGCACCTTATAAAAAAAGACCAAATACAGGCCCTTCGCATAGGTTAAACGCTTATTTTTATAGTTAATTGAAAACTTGCACTATGGAGGCATCATTCCTGAGTGGTTGGAGTGTCAGCAGTCTTATTAGATGGATTCCTAAGCCTAGCTCGACTCTAGCCAGTTGGAATTTTAAACTAATAATTATAATTTCTTTAGCTGCACCTAGCCCACCAGCCTTAATGTCAAATTTTTCTTACCCAAAAGAAGATTTAATCATGAAATTCTTGGTCATTTGCAAGTAGCTGACTTTGAAGATAGCTAACAGTGAGTAGATTAAGATTGTCACATTTTGCATATGTAAAGAAATTAAAATGATGATAGGACCATTAGGTCATCAGAGTAGTACATGCTTTGTGAGAACCTTGTTAAAGTTCAACCCGTTAACTCCCATATGAGTGACCAAGACAGAGTTTCTCTCCTCACAATGTCAATACAACATCAAGCAAACAAGTGATGAGAATAAAAGAAACTATCAATTAAGGGGATCATTTGAGTGAATACCAAATTCTCCAAACTAACATCCTAAGAATTGTATGTCAGACAGTAAGGAGAATTATTGATGAGATCCCAGAAGTAAAGGGGTTTAAGGATGTCCATAAGCATTTGTTGGATTGTGATATAAACCGTGCAGGGGGGTGGGGGGAGGAAGGAAGGAGGGAGGGAGGGGCAAACAACAAAATAACTCTCTACAGCAAAATCATCTTAAAGGTTTATTACTTACATCCACACTCTTCCCAGAATACAGTTCCATCACAGTTATGGTTTGAAACCTTTCTTCAAATCCTTGAAGAGCAGGTGATGACAGTGAAGTGGCCTAGGGTAAATAGCATGACTCATTTCTTAACAAAGGTTGTAAACAGTAAACTACGAACAACAATTATGAACATCAGGTCAAATATGGATTCCAGATAAATAATCCATCAATGCCATTCATGAATTGAAAGATATGTAATTACTGATTACAGAGGAATGGTGCATTGCAATTAATGCACACAATCATTATAAAGCTAGCACATCATTAGACCAATGTCTCACAAATTGTTTGGGGTGCACCTAAAACTTTTTGAGTTTGCTACTTACACAAAATTGTATAGGTGTTCCCTGGAGTTTCCATGCATTTGGATGAATTACTGAAAGGTAAAAATCCATTACCAGAATTATTAAAAATATCAATCCTCAATTAGCTGGGTGCCGTTTACAGGTGGAAGTTAAGACTAAAAAGCCAGTTTACAAGTCATTCCAGAAACCTCAATATTTTTGTTAGACTTTAATTTCTGTTGTCATTGCTTGATTTTTAGCTATGTGATTAAATTTACCACTCTTGTGGCCTAAAGTCACACCCAAATTGATCTCCCTCAGAGGTTCAAATCAATATTTCTGACAAGCATGTTTATTCTTTATAAATGAAATGCCCCCTCCCACCCATCCAAAAGAGTAGAAAGACAGGTTATAGTTCTTAACCAAGGCCAATACTCAAATTGAGGAACTATTTATGCTGACTGTGTAACTAATAGCATGCTTCTAACATAATTCTAACTTGAATGTTTGTGAAATATAATTTGTAACTTAAAGAAGTGTAAATGGAAAAAAACTCAGGGAAAAAAATTAAGTGGAGGATGCTGAAAAAAAGCTATAAGCAAAAATAAGATTCTTTGAGCACATTAATTAATTTGGCCTTACATGGAGGTAGAGTTATACTTTGTCCTGAATACAAAAGGTATTCCTGATGATCATCTTCTTCAAACACAACATTACAACAAGTAGCCAGCTCTGCAGTCATGTTTTTTAAAACAGTTGACTTATGTTTGCATGCCAACGAATTCTGCAAAATGAAAAAAATCAGACAGCACTGAATCCATTAACTTTGAAAGTTACACATCTCAAATTTTAAATATGTCAGGGGTGTGTCATTCAGTTTATGAAAATACTGACCTATACCAGAGAAAAAGTCATAAAATAAGTACCCTGGTCTGTGCAATAAGCAATCTTACAATAATTTTAGAAATTCATGTTGCTTGTTAGTTCAAGAGCCATTGTCAATAGGGTGATAGATCATAAAAATGATGTAACACAACACTCATCAACACAGCTTTTTTAGCATTCTATAATCTATGTGATACAAATGATGATTTGTAATTTTGGGTTCTAGCTGTCACATTTGACAAAAGTAAACAAATGGTGTCTTTACTTTAGTGGCAGTTGATTGATGGAGTATTTTTTTCTTCTTCTCTCAACCATCTTCTGCAAACTTAGCTGTATGAAGCTGGCATAAAATTTTTTTTGTGCTGATGCAAAAAAAAATTGTAACTGAAAACAGATGTTCTTGTCACATTTTAGCATCTTCTGTGATTTATTACCCATCCAGACCCACAGCAACATGGAACATATTTGTCCTCCATAACAAAGAAGCAAGGTTACCCCTAAGCTTGACAATTTGTCAGTACCCATTTAGGAGGAAAGTATACCATTTGATACCAACCATTATAAGGTTGTAATTTTGGGTTAGCTGTCATATTTTTTGAAAAAAAAAAACCTGGTGACTTTTCTTCAATAGCAGTTGATTAATCGTGGAATTTTACTTCTTCTGCGATCATGTCAAACATGCATGATTTTCCAAAGACTGCATTAAGTTGGTATAAAAATTTCAGTGTTATTATAAACAGCAAATCAACCACAACTTTCCAGTGAACCACTCAGCTCACTGTGATTTGTAGTTTGACTTTAGTTTTTAAAATTGTTAATGTCACTTCTGTGATCAATTTTACAAATAAATTCAGTAATAGATCACAGATAACAACAAAAGAACACAAAGTAGCACAACTGAGTCACAGCTGGGTGTCTCATCGATGTTCTTATCAAATTTTGACATCTGTGATTTATTACTAACTGTACAAACTCACGACAACATGGAATCTCTATATTTTTAAATGACAAAAAAGCAAAATGTTGCTAATGGTGACTTCATCTATGTATCTGTTCTCCAGTAGAGCAAATTAAGTAGGAACCCAGCAAAATGCGGGAATCGTTCAGCTTATCATTTGAAAGTTTCAAACTAGGTGGTTCCCGCCGCCAATTCTTATTTTCTCGACACCGCTATTTCAACAGAACTCTCAGTTTAAATAAATGATAGGGTTAGTGACCTATAAACGTTGATTTGACGACAATAAAACAGACCAAAAATTCTCCATACTCTATCTGAATTTCCAGTTCATTCCACAGCTTGTTTATTTACAATTATTTAACTCAAATCAGTCTGTACACACTTTTATTTAACCAAATATTGTGGTGAGAGTCTCCTCGACAAAACAGCATAAAGAAAAGTGAAAGCGTGAAAATTACTGGAGAAACAACTTACCAGGATAAGCCCTCGCCAGTTTCACATCAACGTGATCAAACGAATTCCAGCTGTATCTGTTGAGTTGTTGTTCTGTTGGTCCAAAACAAACCGAAAGTAAAAAGCTCATAGATATCCAGAAGACCCCTTCCGATATCACTGGTGAAAATCGTGCCTGATATAAATATTACTTCTATTACATCAGCTGAAAAAAAACCCCTTGGGCAAATCCGTTCTGCATAATACAGGGTTGCAGTTGAGATGCGGAAGCTCAATCAATATGACCGAAATGACTTCTGGGTCATACTGATTCGCAGCCAGCCGATGTTTGATCCGTTACGCACTGCGTGCTTTACGCAATGCGTTCATCAGGAGAGCATGATGCTGTAAAGGAGGCCAAACGAAGTCATCTTCAACACAATTATTGGTCAAGAGATTCTCATTGTTACCTTTTCTTTCTTTCGAAAATTATAAATTTGTAGATGACGGCTTAATAAGATATTAAACTGCACTGTTGACCTGTACTTCCGGGATCAAGCCACTGTCTGGCGACAAATTGTCAGAACCATGATATTTATTCATGGCCTCGAAGAGGTGACAGGTTAAGATGCGCGGAAGTTCTTTTTGTAACGTCTTTACATTCTGCTCATGCTCTACCTATCAACCGGAAAGTCCCAAACTGAACATGACCGTCTACGGGAGAAATAACTTGATAACCCCGCTCTTCCTCTCCCGCTTCAAGTTGCCATCCTACCCTATCTGGCATTGACACAGCTATAAACAAGCCAACTCTTTATTGATTATCTATAAATTCTCATTAAATGATCACTACTGGTCTAACCTCTTTCGGCTGTAATAGATGAATAGTGGTACTAAATGTTCAGGAAAACTGAACTGATGATAATCCTATGATTGCCTCTCTAGAGGCGTCGTTCCTCTTTACTAAGTGGTATAAGCAATGGTAAACATTATGTCTTACTTTTCCGAGTTGTGTGCGCACACAGTGATCGTAGTCCTTCATCAAGGAAATATATTGTGAGGGCGTATAAGGGATAAAATGGGAGCTGCCTATGACCAGTTTATTTTTACAGTGGCTAACAGCTTCACGCTCTAAATGAAATTTGGCTAGTCGTTAATGCAGCCGAGAAAGGAAAGGAATTGAAAACGAATCCTGGGACGTTAATAAATTCTGGCTTGGACTGGGATTTGTACCTTTTCGTCCAGACCGCTCTGATTATCTTACAGTCGACACAACCATTGACTTGGACCCTGTGCAATGTCTTACCTACAACACCAACTATTTTGAACGACTGACTCTGAAAAGCTGGTTTTCTAACTTAGAAAAGCTTTTCCTCAACAAATGTCAACGATCGGCACCATACAGACGACTTACTTATAACATTTACACAACAAATAAACCTAAAAGAACAACCTAAATAACGCGACTGACTTACACCACTCGCCGGAGTCTTCTAGCCAACAGCATTACGACTGAACTAACTGATCAGATAACACAAACTGGGCTCATAACTCACGACTTAGAACAGTCGACTTGACTCTGATGATGACTTCCACTCAGGTTGTCGAACATCAGTCACTACCGTTACGGCAAAAGTTCTTCTCAGGACCCAGTCTCTCCCGGACGCGGATCAGATTTTACATGATAAACTTTAAGAAATGTCATTCTTACAAAACGAATTTCACGTTTCTTCTGGAATTTTATTCGTAAGAAATTATAAGAAGATTGTCATTATGTTTACAAAGTGGTGCAAAGTGGCCATACTTTGAGTTCAATTTGTGTTAGCAATTCCGAGTATAACTTGAACGACAGCTGGTAGTTCTCTCGTATATTTACTGAGAATGTGTGGTTAATGATTAAGATTACAGAAAAGTTGAGCAGTAACAGCCCGCCTGCAAGAAGGGCATTTGACATGGGAGCCCTTCATTAACTCTTTAACACAAGTTCTACAGTACAAAAAATGGCCACAGGGCATAATAACACAGTCACGAGGCTGTTGCGTACACTTCTGACAAAGCACAGAGCTCCTAGATTTTTCGAGTTTCATTTTGAGATCGATAACTTTTTGGTCACTTTCCGCCTCAGGTTCTTCTACTTTGTTTAAATTCTTCTCAAACTCTTCTCGCTTTTCCGTACAGTCACGCTCTAACTGCTCTTTAAAAGTTTCACGAATTTCAAACATTGCAGTGTGGTAATGACTTCTCAGCTCAGTTTGTACCATCTTATGCATGCCCAGTTGCTCACTGAGACGTAGTTTCTCGGCTTTTAGCTGAGTTACACATTCACTCATGTTTGAAATCTTGGACTGAATGGAACGCATTTGAGAGAGCTTCTGAGCAGTTTCTTTCTCGATTGCACAGGAAGACAAGAGACCTAAGGATCAAACGACAAAATAAGTAAAAGAAAGAACAATTTTACTTCTATACCAGGAGAAGTCCCTCTTTCCAAGCGTAGTCAGGTGCGATTCCAGCTTTTTCTTCCTCTGATCTCTATTGCTTCGCGCAACGAACAGCGCCTGGAAAGACGGACTGCTTGTGGTCACTCTTGTGTGCGATCGTTTTATGTTCTTTTCCTTTAGTCAGTTTCACTAAAATCTCGATTCGCATTTGCTGAGAACACACATATTCCAAGCTAATAAAGCCTTCCTCTCTCCGTTTTTTTTTTTTTATGGAAGAGCGTTTAGCGTGGAGGAATTTTTAGTTCACTACTTGAATATGAATATAGTTTATATCTGACCACTTGTAGCCCAGAGGCTGAATTACGGGTGCAGTGTAAGGTTGAGAACAGACGTCAGCATATCAGGCGCCTCTGGCAGCCGCTTCAGTCTATGATCTCACCTTCCCACCCATCCCACCCCAGGGGAGGACATCCATCACACAGTAATCTCGTTTGTGGGAAATTAACGTCTCCTACCCCAACCCTGCAGGAGACGGGACCTCCATTTATTCGTCCCTATCCGAGAAGACTAGAATATCTAACCATTTCTTGATGTTATAGAAAGGTAGCAAATTCTTCTCAATTATTTTAAGACCTTGAGTGTTGGTCCGGCCGGGGCTCGAACCCTCAACCTCCCGCACAACAGTCCAGCGCTCTATCCATTGAGCTAACCGGTAGGCGGTTTACTTCTATACAAGGATACAATAGACACTTGGATACAATGTGGTCATTATTTTAAATCTGAAACTAAGAACAATATCTAAGTTGATGGTAATATTCAGTCCAACTAAGAACTTAGCTGGAATCAGTTTAACCTCTTGATGTCATAGCGAAGGCAGTTAAGGCCCTGATCAAATCAAATCAAATTAAACTCAATTGCTACGCCACTGTCGCAAACACTAATCAAAATTAAATATCTGTTATCGAAACGTGTGGCTCAAGTCAGTTAAACCCATTAATGATGTTTAAATGTACGCTGAATGTCGTAAGGAGAACATCTGTTCTGATTTAAACAAAACAAACTAGTAGTTTAAAACACAAACCTCTACGCTCATCATACTCTCGAAACTCAGTGACTCCATGAGGCCAAGTAAACTGCAGGCATCCATCTAAGCACCCATCTTTCCAGCTCCCCTCTTGTACAGTACCATCCGAAAGCGTCAAAGTCCCAAAGCCTGTCATTTTATCGTACTGCCACTGACCTTCGTATATAGCACCGGAGGAAAACATCATCTTTCCATGACCATGCCTAGAATAAGTTCAAACAATTTCATCAACACCTAGAGCTGCTTAGGGATCGGTTGATCTAAACAAAATAGCACAGCGTCTCTGTGAAGGTAGTCCTGTATAAAAGCGAAATTAAAAGCAAATTATGCCGTTTTCAATAAATTAGAATAATCTTTCATTTCTGTATTGCCGTATGTGCTCAGTAAGACACGAATCGAGTCGTGGTTATCACAAGTCTTTCCGAAACAGAAATCCTCAAGATATATGTATTTCAAATATTCGTTGCGTTTGATTTATCATCTTACGGGTTTATGTCGAATTAATTTGATAGCCCGCTCCCAGTTGGCTTGTTAGCTCAATTGGTAGAGCGCTGCCCTAGTATCGCAGAGGGCAGTGGCTCGAATCCCGTACAAGACTGAGTTTTTTCAGGTCTGATTTTTCACTATTGCTTAAATAGTGCTTTACTGCGAGGATCGTGCACATATACGTAAGAAAGTCTCAAGCTCGATCTTTTGAAACCAATTTCTTTCATTGTCTAAATCTCGGTTTGTCCTTGTCTCCTCTCCACGTAATGATCTTAGAGATGCATTGACACAGGCGTTCTCCCAGTAGTAGCTGTTACTGGACTTCTTTTATTCTTGGTGATCTCGGTGATTGTTTCTTTGATTTAAGTCGTCTACTAAACACGTCTATGAACATCTCTTTTCAGCAGATATCTACGTACTGCAGCCCGTACTTTGTTTTTACCTCATGTTGTTTTTCCACCCACCATTGTAGAGTCCATGTTTAGCTGTTGCTGGATTGTCGCAAGGCGAAGAAAGAATGAGACCTTTGCCCACCCCATCCCTTTTGCCTGTGTGTAAAACAGAGGTTTTCTCTTACCAAAGAGTTACACTTTCTTGCACATGATACAACACGAGCAGTTATTGAATGTTTCTTAAGTTTAAGCATTTTACTGAGTGTGAAGTCGTGCTCATGGGCAACTGACATGCATGGAATGTATGCCTTGTATTACCTTTGGGTAGGGGTGGAGTTACATTACCCTATTTACGTTACCCTATTTTTGACATTTTTACTACTTTGACCACGTTTCACTTTGTAGCAAAAGATTCGTAATTTTTGTCGTGTGAAGAAATAAAGACTACTGCACCAAGACTACTTCTAGTGAGGTTCACGTCACAAGCGGTGAGGTGTATGAAACACATTCACGAAATAATGTTTTCTGCTATACAATATACAATTGACCAGCCACAGAAGAAAGAACTTTAAATGAAACACTTACCAATACTTATCAGATATGAAAAATGACACAAAAATAACAGTTAACAATGATTCACAGAAGCAGAACTGTCCTCGCATCTGTTTGACAATGATGTAAATACGAAAGATAATTTTTCGCTTTGTAGCCTTTTAAATGCTACTGAATAGTTTCTAATAGTGCCCCGACAATGTTTTAGACTGAGCGCTACCTTTACACCAGTCTCCTGTATACACAGTTTCACCCATCACTGTTTTAAGGCTACCATGACCATGTGGAAGTTTCCTTTGACTACTTGCATTATAGTTGGTAACTGCAAGAAAATAATGATCCAGTAAGTACCAAGCATAATCTGAAGATGTCTATATAGTTTTCTTACCTTGCTAACACAATGAAAGTATGGAAAACTAGTCAGGAGCGGTGTTAAGTGTAGATTGGTTGTTATTTCCCCCTCATTCATGCAACGTGATTTAAAAGAAGCGGAAGACGAACATTGGTGAACTTATACAAAAATACAAAACGTGTGTGTCACGAGGTCGTAACCTTCAGTGTGAAGCGTGACGTTTGACTGTGCGCTCGTGCTAGTCCTGTTCAGCTGACCTCTACAGTTACACGAGGAATGTAATAGGAATGTATGGAGTCATATCTGACTTGAAATGCACATCTACGCCATTCCTCAGCATCTCTTATGTCTGGTTGAATCCGGAGAGGGGGAAAAATAATCAATTAGCGGTCGATTTCAACTGTATGTTGAGTATCCTATATCGGTCTATATATCTAACGGACGTAGAAAAGACTAAATGAAACAAGCGCATTGTGCCAAATTGACGTTCCCTCAACCTTAGTTCAAGTATGAGGCAGCAAAATTGTACCTGCAGCTCCACTGAAAAGTAGTTTATCGTGATAGACATGTTGTACCACATCCTCTGTTGTGGAAGCTTTGGGTTGTTTATTGGTGAACGGATTTCGCACATATCCACACTGCATGCTGTTTTTAAAGGAAACTTCCTCAAGAAAAGATTGCATTGCCAAATTGTCTGCCCGTGGCTTGCTTTTCATTTCTGCAAAAAGGACGACATGGTGAGGAAACACTAAAAGAACCTGGCAACACTCTGAAAAAAAAATTAGTGCCGAAAAACTGAGTACCATCTGAAGGCCAACCTTACCTACTGCCGAAATTTTGAGATCTAAGCCAAATCGTGCCCTACTCTACATAAGAGGGCTATCATAATATTTCCACTGTTTCAATTGAAGATTCGTTCCATACATGTGATTGTTGTCACTGATAATCCTATTTAATATCATTTCACAGTACAAACGACAACAGGATCAGTATACACTGTATTGGTCAATATGACATAATTTGGATTTTCTTTAAAAAGGCGAGACAAGGAATAGTGTCCACCGTATTAGTATATGTCCACCTTACTTGTTAACATAAACATCGGATAGAGAGTAAACTTCAATGAGAATACCTAGTTTTAAATAACGTTTATCAATTAGTTTATCAATCATTTACCGTATTCCTTTACCTAGATTGCCAGTTGACAGCTCAAGAGTTGCCAAGCTGACAGCTGTTAATCTTTGAAAAAGAGTTTTTTGAATGCTTAAACAGCGCATCAAGGCCTCCAGGGGTCGTTTTAGATCACTGAGGAGAACCTTTGTATCATGTTTGAAATTTTCTCCGGCTGTACTGCTCTCGTTAGGAGCCTCGTGTATCTCCGAGGTACGAACATTTCCTAAGACATCGCTGTTAGGTTGGCTTGAGGAGCATGAAGCTCGACCAGTTATTTGGAGAAGAACAAGTCTGTAGAGGGAGTTCTGGATTTGTATGCACTTCATGATGCTCTTCAGCAGGGCTTCTGACAGTTGTTTCCCTTCAGAAACGGTAAGCGTTTGGCCCTTTTCTTTTTCAACTTGTGGATGAGCACTGGCTTTCGTGGTGGGATCAACAATTGATTCGCGGAAAAAATCTTGCTCAGATGATTGTGGTAGTTGAGCGTCGACTGATTCTGCGCTGGACTCTATGATCACTGGCGAGACAAGTGTAACACTACATTAGTTTCAATAATGCTGTGAGGACTAACCTAGGCTTGATAATGTCAGGCCATCTCGAGGAATACCTGCTAAGACTAACGCGATTTTTAAACTAAATAGTCTAAATCACTATAACCTTGCCCAATAAAGCGCGGGCGCGTTCTTTTGAGCTGATACGAATGACCGGGTCACGATGAGTGATCCAAGATCACTCAGAATATGGCACATCTAATGAGTCCATGAGCCACTCGGAGTACCTGATCCGGATCCGAATGGTACCAAACGACGGGCGTACCCTTAGATAGGATCAGCGCAATGATGGAGCAGCATTTGAGCTGCACTTGATACAAGAAATTGCGTCAATCATAGTGTTCACCTCGGAAGCATTTGTTGGAGGGGATAAGAAAGGACAAGTTACCAAAACAGATTACAAGACAGGGATATGTCTACCCAAGACATTATAATCCCTTAGTATAAACAATAAATACAAAACCAATCAGTTTACTTGTTACTGAGATAAGTCGTGATAAAAGGAAGTGCTACGAAGCAATAAAAAAAAAAGCTCCTATGTTTTCAAGTCTTACTTACTTGGAGTTACATTTTCCTCTTTCACTGACGAATCAAACAGAGACTTCACGGGCTTATCTTTCCTTTTCTTTATACTTGGAGTTTCAAATGAACCAAATTGGGGTCTAGCTCTACCTAATTTAATACAAAACGGATTAAAAAAAGGAAACATTTCATAAAAATTATCAACACTTTTGCCGAAGATTTTCTTCTCGTTTTAACAACTATTCAAATATGACTAGTACCTTAAACGCTTTAATAAAACAATTAAAAAAGATGGTTATATAAACTTCAAAATTATTTAGCTTACCAAGTTTAGCAAGGAATTTCAGCGGAAAAACTCTCAGTTGCTCGGTTCGTTCTAATTTTAGAATGCCATCAGGGTTGTCAATATTGATTAAAGTCCCTCTTATTGAACATTCATCTCCAAATACGACTTTACACTGAAAAGTCAAAGAACATCAAGGGAGCGTGAAAAGCCGAATGATATCGCTTTCAAAACCAAGTAAACAGATCCAGATGTGTCCGGCAAGGAACCAAATATGAATTCTGACAATTGAACTAAATAGGAACGCATTACACATGTAGAATTTAATATTAAAACATCATCATGAAGAAACTGTAATGGGATTTAAGGCATTGTTTAAATAGTGCGTAACGGGTTGCTTAAATAATTATTGTTCAGACAGACTTTCTGTTTGCCAATTTTTTGTTTTGTTTTATTTTTTTTTTTTTTTTTTACACAGCCTCAAAATACCAACAACGACAACAAACAGAATGCTAGCCACAAAAGAAAAGTAAGGTTTATTCTAATCGCACTGACAATATACGATGTGCACTGTTGAGAGCAACCTGGCTATACTTACTTTGTCTTTTCTATGTAACTCCACTGGATCAATGTTGTCAACCGAAACGAGGACCGTGCGGTTGTCATCGTATAGCCCCACTGAACACTGGCGTCCACTTACCGAGTGCACCACACCCTTTTTTTTAATCAGCCTCTTTTCTGTCTGTGAATAAAGGATCAACCCGAATCAAAAGGATCAACCCGAATCAAAAGAATCACGAAAATATTACACATGCCATAGAAAAAGGAGGAAGTATGATTCTCACTAAATGAATATCCCTTTCAGAGAAAATACGAACACTTCGTTATTGCCATACTCAACTTTTTTTTATAGTGACGATAATTCTATCATGGTCTGTGAACCTAACCAGTATCTAACCGACTCCTTCCTTATTTTACAACTGCGCAGATAACTTGACGGTGTTAGTTTTCACGGCATAAATGAGCCCCCCTCAACCCTTCTTTTACTTCAATTGCATTAAACATTGTGAGTGAGATTCTTTGGCTGGTTCAGCCAATTTTTCCTTTTAGATTTTGAGTTCGCAAAAAGTTTATTTTGAACACAATACTTCTTTTCATTAAAATTCATTTTGCAAGTATGTCTCAAACATGGATTGAGGAATACTCTTTCCCTTTGAGCACGAGGCTTACAGCACTAAACAATGACGTGGACTATCCATTGTAGCAGCATACAGGGTGATTGTCACCTTAAACTAGATTCGTGGCGTTCCAAATCACCACTTTCCTCCTCATTTTTTCCAAGATTTTTAGGAGTAAGCATAACGTACAGCGATAAATGTGAAAGTGGCGAGTAGCTCAACGATGAAAAAATGCAAGGCACTAATTGGATGGGAATAGGATTTTCTCCTGACGTCAGAGTTCAGGTTTTGTTTTTTCCGAGAATGGCTTTATCAGCGATAGACCTAAATTATATTTCACTTTCATCATGCCGCCATTTCATTAGCTCATCATGCTTCAGCGGAAGGCTAAAATAGTTCCGCTTTCCAATGTACCGTGCACGTCCTTGCTTTTCTTTTTTGACAGAAGAACCTGCGAAAACTCAAATTTCCATTTATAACCTAACAACTTACCTTGCAAGTTTCATTGATTTGTACTTCAATGTCGGTTGGGTCCCAGTTTGCGGCATCAAATCCTGTTAATCGCAAAGGTACATAAACTCAAAGTGATTCCGTGGATTAATTAACTTTTGTTACATCGAGGATTTTGATGGGACGTAATATTCTCAGCACTGACTTTATTTCACGGATAAGAGCTAACAAGATAACTGGTCGAAAGTAACAACGTAATCTAAAGACAACTTGGGTAGGATAAACAAATAGGTAGTACAAACAAAATGACCCTGCAACGTAAACTAAAGACAACTTGGGTAGGATAAACAAATAGGTAGTACAAACAGAATGACCCCGGTAAAAACGGGCAGTGATAACGCCAAATTAAAACTGCGACCGCTGATAACTTTTATGACAACTGAAGACTTCTTGAACAGACAACTGCGCTTAGCCCGACATCTAGAGAAACTGACTGAAAAAAGTGTTAACGCTAGAGAGAAACTAAGAAAATATACGACATATTTAACAAACATGTTTCGATAGTTCTTCTTAAACTGGATTTAAAAACAAGACTGTAATTACGAACGGTATGAAAGCATGTAACTGACGAAAAACGATAACAAACTGAACAAAAAACACTAACGAGGTCTGAGAAAAAAAAAACAAAGATATAATTCCAAAACAAATGAGAAAACAGCTAGATATTACAAGGACCATGGTGTAACAATAAAACGGACCCGTGTTTATTCATTCTTCAAAATGACTGAATTTTCTGCCTTGTTCCCCAAAGCAGTTGAACAAGCATGTTACCCGAAATCAGGATTCGCAAAGTTTCCTTGGTCCCAGAAAGTCCTGTAGGTCCCTTAATTCTCAACTAAGACTATTCCTGCACACTTTCTTTATAATCAACTTTTCCAGGCTATAGATCATAATTTTCCTTGCTACTCGGAGTAAAGAAAATACTCAAAGAAAACGCCTTACTCTGATTCCCCTTGTCAAGTAGGGAGAACTGAGAAAGAGGAAAACTTTCCCTCGGCCGTCTGTATGAGACTAATGTCAAGGCAATGAAACATTTCTCTGAGCTAACAAAAGAATGTCGTCTTGGTCTCCTTAATATTAGACAGTCACTCATTACATAAACGATATCAGATGTTCAGGCCTGAAGCTTTTTCTCTTGTTACCCCCAAAGCCCTGGATGGACCTCACAAAGGTCGGTGCATTGTCTCTTGGCAAAACGTAATATCAGCATTCTCCATAATTGAACTCTTGAAAGAATTTTCAAGAAAAACGCATCTTACTGCGTTTTGCCAAATTTCAAAAAAGTTCCGAGAAAGCGATAGCGTAAGTCTTCCCCTCAAAAACCACAAGAACTGCACTGAAAGTTGTTTAGGACTATTTCCTCGCAAAGTCAAGAAGATCAATAAACGAGACTAATACTAAATGATTTTTAGGTTCAAAATCTTTGCCTCCTCAAGAATGACGTTACACATGTCGCGTGTGTTGCTTGGATATCACGTGAAATTTAAAAAGATTCGTAACACGAAACCTTCCTAAGTGTCTGAATCCCAAGTGTTCTGAAAATAACTGTGACACACGGCCCACAAGAGACTGTCTCTCTCCTTCATCTTCCCTACCCAAAATGTAATATTTCCAAAAAACCTGTCAAAACAAAATTTAAAGAAAGTATTCTAATTTATCTCGGGAGTGTTTGGCGTTGGTCTCCTCTCGCAGCCGTTCTTAGTCTCGTGATCTCTGTGTCTCCCTCCCCACAAACGGCTGCTCGTGTTGACCAAACATTCCATTCCCTTTGTTTCCTTCAACCAATGAGCGTTGAGCAGGGAACATCTCTCAAAATTTCGCCAAATTTCATGTTTGTAGAGCTAAATATGTCATTTATCAATATTTATGGCTGAGACCCTGAAGACAGTACCTTGGAGTAATTTATCTGGATGTTTCCTGTGTACGTCAACAGTTTCGACTAAAGAAAGAGTTAGAATCTCCGGAAGATCGGCTGATGTAGAGAGCGTCATAAGTTTGGCACTGGGTGTAAACTTGGAAGCTTTCGACATTAATTTGAATTCTACTTTATATATATGTCTCAAATGCTACAGAAAAGTGGTCAAGATTAAGAAATTAGAAAAGGATCTCCAAGAGCTAAAAAATTAACTGAAAGCTGGGTATGATTCCATTGAAGATCACCGGATTAAAAGACTTCAACCATCACTTGACAGCGACTCGAACGCAAAGCGACCTTTTGTAGCGAAAGCTCTCGATTTCACCGGCCCTAGCAAATGTACTTCTTTGCCTTTAAGTCCTACAGTTGAACCGCTAGTATCTCTGCCTTATAATAATAATAATAATAATAATAATAATAATATCTTTATTTAAACACGATGTGTTTCAAAGCTGAACAGCTTGTGGGGTCGTGTGTAAATCAAATAAACTTCTAAATTAAATAAATTCAAATGATGGTTTTTGAGGAGAGGGGAAAACCGGAGTACCCGGAGAAAAACCTCTCGGAGCAGAGTAGAGAGCCAACAAACTCAATCCACTTATGACGCCGGGTCCGGGAATCGAACCCGGGACACATTGGTGGAAGGCGAGCGCTCTCACCACTACGCTAACCCTGCCTTGTACGCCTCAATCTTCTGGTGCTAATACCTACTCAGCCCGTCAGTCCGATAATGGCCGAGAAACAGCCGCATGTTCCCACGCACTGGCGAGGTGAATATATTATGAGCCTTTCAGATTTCGAAAGGCGGCACCCTGATTGGTCAATCGGCTGGAATGGAATGTTTGGTCAACACGAGCAGCCGTTTGTGGGGAGGGAGACAAAGGGATCCCGAGATAAAGAACGGCTGCGAGAGGAGACTAGTTTGGAGTTCGCTGATGCCAAACCAAAACAGTTAAAATTATTAAACAACTAGCTAGTCCCTCACCTTCCAGAAACGACCAAAATGAATTGCGACGAACTGCAGAATAGCTGGATGAAAAACCGTTGATAGGTGACGAAGGACTGTAGGTAGGTGTCGAAGGACTGTAGTTTGGTGACGTACGCCCGTAGATTGGTAACGTAGGACTGTAGCTTGGTGACGTAGGACTGTAGCTTGGTGACGTAGGACTGTAGCTTGGTGACGTAGGACTGTAGCTTGGTGACGTGGGCCTGTATTCGTATGCTGATGACGTATTAATGTAAGGTGACGAGCAGGGAAAGCAGCTCGGTTGAGAACTGTGAGGTTTGCTATAGCCCGTGGACATGGTGCGAAGGTCAGATGATGTAGAAAGAGAACTCCCACCAGCTATGGTTCTAAAATAATTTTCATTTCTACCGGCTGTGGACGAGGGGCACGTGGTTGAAGAACTCTTCGCAAATGGCTCTTTCTGGGCGCGAATTCTATTCCGGTACTCATAGTCTTCAAAGCGCAACTCCTAAGCAATTGAAATAATATGGCGGAAAAGAACGATTACACTTCTGGACAAGGTAGCTTTCCTTAAGTCATTATGTTTGATAAATCATGCCTCAGCAACAATGTTTAAAGGGAGAGAAAAAAAAATCCAGCTTTGGCAACCTAAATTAGCTCTCTCAATCAATGTCACGTAAACCGCACATCCGGTGGCTGTAATATTTGTGGATACGCCGGTCCAAGCGACTTACTTCCATATTTTTTCCAGTTTTGGAAAGAAAACTTCGGTTTAAATTTAATTCTTGAACACTTTCCAGTCAAAAGAAAACTTGAGTTTACTTCATTTAAAAATTGAAGTACTAACTAAAGATACCTCTGAGTAAGGACTGATGGGTCATTAGTCATTAATGAATCAGAAGAACGCGACCATCTATTTCAAATGTTTTTCTTTGTGCTCAAGTACTAATGCTGGGGTTTAGTTTCACTGGTCAAATCTGTGGCCACTAATATAACTTTGGGATTTGCCTGATTAAAGCACAGTTCTGCCATCCTGGGGAAGCTTAAGATATGTAGGTGTGTTCTAACTGAAGGAATTCAGTTCACAACTGGCTAAAATGAATAAGTTCCTGGATCCAATCCATGGAAAAACATTTTGCATGATATGCTATAGAGTAATACTATAGATATACTATATATACTATACTCTCTCTATATATAAATCATTAAGATAATAAAGTTGAAGATCAGATGCCTGTGGGGATTATAAAACAATAGCAGTTGCTTGGCCCATACTCAGAGCTCAGTTAACTTCTATGTGAATAGTTTGTTCAACCTACTTCAATGCTTTTGTTTGTATATACATCCATCATAACTATGGCTTGAAATCTTTCATTATACCCTACATCATTGGAAAGTGATACTGTGGTCTAAAACAAGAACAATCATTTGATAGTCAAGAGAGTACATAAAGTAGGGAATTAAAAATCAGCAATATCAAAAATTAAATGCAGAAACATTTTCAAGTTCATTGGGATGTTTATAGCAAAAAATAAATAGCTAATTAAAAAAAGGAATTAAAAATATAATTTAGAAAAATAGAAAAAAAGACACCATGTAAGACAGTAAAAAGTTGACAAAAAAGACAAGTAAAAGATTGAATAAACTAAAACGAATTAACACTTTGTTTTGAAAATCAGAATTGCAAATACCAGTAAACAATCTATAAATTTTTTCGGTTTAATCTGCAGAAGCATATTACTATTTTTGGTCATTCCACTCTTTATCAAAAAATTGTCACTGCAGACAAACACCTTGTTCGTAACCTCTTATCATCTGTAAGTATTACTAAAAGCCAGTGGTTGTGATGGCATAAGTAACAAGATAATGTGGGTAAATTGCACTAAAGGTCTTTACACTATATGTAAACTGCTCACATGTTTATATGTTATAAACTTCTCACTTCTTCCATGTAATATATCCTTGTGAATGGAAACTTGCAGTTACCTCTTGATATTTTACAATGCTTATACATAGACCACCAAAGAGGAAACAAACAATTTTTGGAAGCAATTTTAATCTTTATTGAATTTAAACAATAAAAACCACAATTTTTTTGTCTTAAATCCTTCAATTTATAATATCTGTACTAAGTAGTACAAATACTTTCAATTGTTAATTTATACTAACAATAATATTGCACCTGTAAAACTCAATAAGATCATTTACAGAAAATATCATGTGGATCAGTTATATAATTACAAAAATGATACATATGACTTTTAAGTGGAAATTGTACAGGATGGATCACTATCCAATTTAGCTCTGATGTCTTGTAACTGCAAAACATGTTTGAGCATCACAATTTGAATCTCCTCAATCACAGTCACACCATTCAATTTATTGCCAGCTGAGTCTAGCTAATTATTACAGTCTGAAGCTCAATCAGCAGTGCAATTTATCCAATGAGAGTGAATTATGGTAATGACACAGTGATTGCAAAATATCTATCCTGGACACTTACACTGAAACTTACACGAAATTGTATTGGCCGTGTTCCTATTGTCTCCCATTTCTTTAGTTTCTTACCTAAAATGTGAAATAAAACATGCTATAATTATTATTAACATTCATCAAATTATTTTCTTTTTCGCCAGATTTTTTGCTTCAGATTTGTTTGACTTGTAATATAATCCCAATTGTTTCATGAGCTTGAATAAAAATAAATCTCTAGTGATAGAAAAAATTTTTCTTGTCCCTGTCTTTACCGTACCTTTAAATCCTTAATTAAGGATTATTAAGAACTTTAAGATGGACATGAATTTAATTATTAAATTCAGCATAGTTACTATGTAATGTGACATGTTACCAATTGTACCACACAATATAACTGTTTTACTATTGACTAATAAATAATTATTAAATAGGTAATAGATTTTTATAATTACATGGAGCAGACATAGTTTCTCCAGAGTATAAAAATATTTCTGGCTGACTACAGGTGTCATCTTCAAATACAACATGCAAAGCTGTTTCCTTGGATAATGCCATTTTTGGTTACAGACAGTGCCCAGTTGTGGTTATATCTGTAGCTAAATAAAATCTCTAAAATGTTCCTGAAATTGAGGAGAAAAGAAAGCATAATGTTATTATACATTTCTGATCTAAACATAGTTAACTATGATCTAAACAAATACTAAAACAGTAAGTATATATTACACTAGTCTTCTAGATCTTCATGAAACCTGACAAATAAAAACAAAATGAAATAAATCAATGAACAACTAGAGTAGTTGACTTGCTTAGTAGTCATTTATGCCCTAATGTCAAGTGCACATACATCTTACATCTTGGTTATGTGGTAGTCACTTGAAGTCTACAACACTGGCATCAGCTTTATTGACAGCTTAGAGAGTGATAGCTACAACAGTTTGATGAAGGCTTTAATCATTCAGATATACATGAGAATCTAAAGTACTTTGTATGATTACAACATGTTCTATTCACAGATCAATATCAGCATAATAAAGCATAACAGAACATTTTGAAATTATCTGGAATATTTGGACCTGCAATATTTGTATCACGTATCACTCTACAAGTCATCAATTTAAGGTCCATGAGCCTTATCACCTATGGGTACTTGTGTCCTGGGTTTCCACTTTTCTCAAGGATATCGTAAAATTACCAAACAATGATGTGATTCATTTCCGCCTTGAAGTAATGCAAGCATTAATTTCAGGGAAGCCATGCACTCTAATCAATCATGAAAATTTACTTCTGGATCATACATTGATCTTCTCTATTCTTCAACACATTAAGGAAGATTTCCACTTCTTGTTTAGAGTATATGAGAAGCACTTCAGGGTAAAGATCAACAAATATAAGTAAAAATATTCAACATATAGTACGTAAGAGATAACAATTTAAAATCACTCTTACAGTGTCAGTGCTGGGAAAATTGCTTTTAAGGGAGCCAATTTCACCCCAAAAAAAGCAGACTATTTTTAAGGTGAAGGTATGCGTATCATGTCGTATATATATCTCTTGATAGAGATGAAAACCGTTGCTTTCACTATACTGCACGGTATTAAAGTTATCTCCATCCTGCCTTAATTAACAAGCCAGGGTTAATTAGCCCAAGCACTAGGTTACTTAGCCCAATTTGGCAAGTGTGTTTTAGTGCTCAAAGTATAATTTTAACTCAAAATGAGTCAAAGAACACCCTTGTGGAGCATTCATTTCATCATGAACAGAATATTTTAATTGAAGTTGAATTATGTCTGGACTGTGCTTAGCTATCCTTCGATTTGGTACTAATTCACTGTCAGCAGGCCAAATGCTTCGTCAATGGACAAAAGGAATGTGAACATTGGAGGAGTTAGAAACTGCACGTGCAGAAAGATTAGCCCTTCTGAACCCGGATACTAGGAATTGGAAGGCTGCGAGTAAAGTCAGCAAAAATGTTCAACGACACTCTAAAACGTTTTCAACCTATTCATGAACGTACGTTGCCGCTGAGGACAAAGTAGTAACTGTTAATCTCCATTTTTTAGCCAAAAGTAAGAACGACTCACTTCCGGGTCGACGACCAGCCAACACTTTAACTCAACATTCTATGGCAGCAACACCAACCTAAATATTGAAAAAAAAAAGCTTTACATACCCACTTATGATTTTCCACTACATATCTCTAAATATGCAGAGTTATCGGAAGTTCACCATTTGTGAAAGTGTACGCAAAAACCCTCGCAAGTTTGTGTCAACCCACTGACCAAAATGCTCGAAAGGGCTTGTGGGCTTAGATCTAATGGGAGGAGACTACTGATTGCTCAGCAGGGGATCCCATAAACTGCATAAATCGAATGGCATGTGCTAAACAAAAAATATGAATTCTGGACGATGGACGATATTCCTATCTTAAGACCGAAGTTGTTACAAAGTCTTTGTTTCCAAACTTAAAAGCAGAGTCTATTCCGTAACGCAGCGTCTCATGAATTAGTGGACGAAGGACGATGAATTAGAATATAGATTAAAACATAAACAGGCTCAGCCAAACTGTGTGTTCCTACAGAATAACGAGTGCATTTTTGCAAAAGAGGAAGTTGGCAAAGGATTTATACGTGACGCATGTTTAAGGCCAAAATTAATACGTGATGCTTCAACAAATGAATCGTGATCGTGAGGCGTGCTTTACCTTCTGAAATATACGTGACCCGTGAGTTTTTCTTTCATTCTGTGAAATCCTCAAAATTTCCCTGATACTTCTCACACAAGAAGAGAGATTTGAAGTTTTCCCTTTTAAATTCGCGACGAGTGAAATGCCGTTTGAAGCATACGTGACGCGTGAACGTTTCTAAACTTCGTGTTTGAATCAACTCTTAGGACCCTCCCCCCAAACCCCCTTTGCTACCCTGGTAGAGTTTGGAAGCAAAAAATGAACTTGTAGTCCTGGAGCAGGATAGGGCAGTCCTCTTCTAGAAACCTTTACCAGAACGGCTAAAAAGCTGGTAATGTGTGATCACTTGCGGCCCCTTCCATACGAGCCATGTGCCCATTCATTAACGTGGCGTTGCATCACAGAAGAGACAGTATCTTTTTAATGTCCGTAGACAACCTATGAGCGGCTAGTATTTCGGCTGATAATATCCACGGCTAAGAGATCGTCCGAAAAATTAATATTAGGCCTACAAGCAAAGCTTGTACGGCAAATAAATACACGTTGGTCGCAAAACATCATGATTTCGAAAAGAAATGAATACTTTCTGTGGTAATGAAACTAATCTAAAGATTTGAGGGCGAACTGGCAAAGGTGGGGGCGAACTCGGTTACGTTGGGGGCGAACTCACATAGATGGTAGAGGAGCAAGCTTGCAATGGAGAGAGCCATCAACCAAAACTGTAACCGCTACCGTATCATTTGTATATCCGCCTCGTTAACTGAAATTATTTCATCGTAGGTATTTGTAACGAAAAGTGAACTGAAGCCAATTTTTTTCTGTTCAGCTTCTCGGAGGAACTCGGTAGCGGAATGGTACTTGACTAAAAATCTCCGACTCAGCCAATCAGCGCGCGCAAAAAGCATTTTAACACCGCTTTTCCGGTATATGTTAATTCTAAAAACATAGAATCGAAAGAAAGTATAGCAAAAAGTGCTTTTTTTCCAAAACAGTGACAATTGGCGTGACCTTGAACCAGAGCCATTTTGTGTGAACAGAGAAGATGTGGAGATATAAACACACAACCTACTTGTCCGGTGGATTTATCAATAAGCAACTGAATTCAGTAATCGCTCAATAGCAAACAAGAAAAGAATAAAGTAACCTTTTATGTCACCAAAGTAAAACTAGGCCCACCAAAAATGACTTTGCACACAAACATAGAGAGTTCGTCAGAAGACGGCTAATTAGGAGAATTACTGGCTAACATTTGAGTCCATTTTCAAAACGTCAAAATTTTCCCTGATTAGTGGTTCACATTACACAACATTTCTCCGGAGATAGGCCCACGGCAGGTAGGGCAACGAGAATCACCTTTCCTTTTATGCTCAGCCACGCATGCCCTACAATACAGCAAATGAGTGCAAGGCATAATGATACAGTCACGTGGGTTTTCAAAACAAATCTGGCACAGCTGCCCTCCTTTCGCTTCTTCCAGCTCCTTTTCTAATTCTCGTATTCTTTCGGAGCTTTTCGATTTGCTCTCTTCTGCGTCCTTCACTTTCTGTTCGAACTCTTTCTGTAGTTTTTCGGAGTCGAGCTCGCGCTGAACGTCAAACCACTTGCGAAGTTCCAAAAGAGCTGCTTTATGCTTTGTGTTCAACTCAGCCTGTCCTGCCCTTAATGTGTTCAGTTCGTCTTTGAGAGTCGAGTTCTCTTCCTTTAAATCAGCCGCACATTCACGCAAGGCGAGGAGCTGAGATCTAATGTAACTCATCTGTGTAAGTCTTACGGCAGTTTCTTTGTCAATCTTCGAGCAAGTCAGCTGACCTGGAAAAGGTTAAAAAAAACAAAAACAATTAACACAAATTGTCAAGTATCGAGTACCAGGTGCCAATAATATCAACTCATGCACAAATACACATACGGACAGACTTTCCATCAAGCGATGTAACTGAAAACTAACCTTGACCTCGTCTGTATTCGCGGTACTCTGTGACACCATGTGGCCAGGTGAATAGAACACAGCCGTCCAACGACCCATCCCTCAATGTCCCTTCCTGTATGGTCCCATCCGGGAACTTCAAAGTCCCATACCCAGTCATTTTGTCATACTGCCACTGACCGTCGTATTCGACCCCAGACACAAACGTCATTTTCCCCTTGCCATGCCTGAAAAATAAATCAAGCAGTTTGGACTCAATTCTTTTGCTTTCCAATCTCATGAAATGGTCAGGAAAACCCTAGGAAGAGAAATGGACGAACCAAGGATAACTGAAAACGCCTTCTTCTCATCGTTCCAAAAAATTGCTAGTTCAACTTCACGAACCTGTCTGCAAGGGTCAATAACTTCGTGATTCACAAAGGCATCCCTCATAAACAGGACGTTCCAAAGAGAGTCGATATTTATATTCTGATTAAATAATCAGATCGGCTATGATTGACTCCTGAAACTGTCTTGGGAGGTGATCCTTGAGGGAGGTTACTTCTGTCCGAATTTAATTTGCTCTTTCTTCATAATATTGTTTGTCCATGAATTCGACTTACAATATGGTGAGTGCATTGGTAAATTTATGTTAAACGCACCTCATGTTATTTTTCCATCCTCCACTGTAGATTCCATGATCGATAGCGACTGGGCTGCTATCCACTTTAGTTACTGATAGAATAAACCCTTCACCTTTGCCATGTCGCTTGCCTACAGTGCAAGTAATAAGTACAAGAAATCATCTTATCACTTCACTGATAATCTAGCACCATTTATAAAAACCCCGGCCAGAAGAGAAAGGGTTTTTAATATAAAGGGTACGGAAAAGAATCATAACGATGTTTTGGAGGTGTCTTAAATGGAAGGAGGAGGAGGGAGGAGAATGGAGGGTACAAGGAAGGAACGATTAGTAGAGGCTCTATTCTCCTTAGTAATCTCACATAATGAGCAATCTTTAAACATAATCTCAATCCCTACACAGTTTTATTCACCCTTTGTATTTACTCAGCGCTTGTCTTCGTTTAATTTCATTTAGTTATCTTTCCAAGTCAATATTTTGTTATTTCCCTTGCGCTAATTTTCACACCGCTAAAAAGGGAGTTAAAACATCTTTACGGATGCCTAAGAGGATTACCTCTACACCAGTCTCCTGTGTATAAAAGTTTCCCTGTCACGGTTTTCAGGGATCCATAACCATGAGGAAGTTCCCGCTGACCACTCGCCCTAATGCTAACGGCTTTTGAGAAGGGACGTTTATCCTGACATACATGATGCACGACATCGTCGCTAGTTATTGCTTTAACTTCCTGGCTCGTGAAAGGGTTTCTTGCGTAGTAACAAGGCATTTTTGTTCTAAAAGCGATCTCCTCAAGCTTGGAAAGAACCGTCAGCATATTTAACTGATTGGATTCTGTAAAAGAACAGGGACACGAAAGCAAATTGTTAATAAAGTGCATTTTAAACAACAAACATATGAAATACATATAAATGAACTGCGGTTATGAAACGTATATGCGCACTATCCTTCGCAGTAAAGCACTATTTAAGCAATAGTGAAAATCAGACTTGAAAAAAATTCAGGCCTGTACGGGATTCGAACCACTGACCTCTGCGATACTAGTGCAGCGCTCTACCAATTGAGCTAACAAGCCAACTGGGAGCAGGCCATCAAATTAATTTGGTAGAGCGCCGCACTAGTATCGCAGAGGTCAGTGGTTCGAATCCCGTACAGGCCTGAATTTTTTTCAGGTCTGATTTTCACTATTGCTTAAATAGTGCTTTACTGCGAAGGATCGTGCACATATAAAGTGCATTTTGTTTTTAATTTTCAGGCAATGTTTCGGTACTACGCCACCTTGACCCTCCCTTGAAGATACGTCATCGTTAGGCGGCTCAGCGGATTCGTCGGCTATCATCGAGTTCACAGCGATCATTCTTTGAAAAAGTCCTCTTTGAATTTCTGCAGAGCGCATTAAGGCCTCTAAAGGGGCTGTGAGCTCACGCAGGAGAGTCCCTGGATCACAATCCTGATTCTTTCCCGTGCTTTTCCTATTACTAGCCTTGGGCCCTGGGAGAGCATCATTTCCATCTTTAGGTTCAACAGGCCACCGCTCCAGTTTGAGCAACACAAGTCTGTAGAGAGAATTCTGGATTTGCATGCATTTGACAATGCTCTCAAGGAGGGAGTCCATTAATTCTTTCCCTTCTAAAACAGTAAGGGTTGGCGCTGGCCCTGCCTCGTCAGCTGGAGGAAGAAACACTTCGCGAGGATCTGCAGAAGTTTGTGCCGTAAAATTTATTATCGGAGAAAAAGAAAACCTGTGTGACGGTTGTTGTACTTGAGCGCTAACTGTGCTAGGATCTGTGGACACTGAAAAGAAAATTGAAAATATTTGAGTATTTGCAACTGCACTTAATTTCACCGTGATATCCCTATTGCAAGAATCCCTGCTTCTATACCCTCTCCATGTTTCCCCACTCACTGCGTCCTCGGTTTTCTCTCTCATTTTGCAAGATATACAGATCATAACCGTCTCATAACCGTCTCATAACCGCAGTTCATACATATGTTTCATATGTTTGTTGTTGTTTGATATACAGATCAATTAAAAGAGTAAGGAAATTAAGAGTGGAATTTTTTTTCTCTTTTTTTATTTTTTCGTTACGTCAAATTACTGAAAGGTGAAATGGTCTTATTAACCACGTCCAGTGGAACTGCAGTATTCAAAGTGGGATCTTGCCTGTTATTTCAACGGTTGTTGTCGGTTAAAGCTTTCAATTGGTGGCGAGATAAGGAACATTGGCTTATCAACTTGTTTTTAAACTTTTATTGTTCTTCTTCCTCTTTGCCAGCCTCCCCAGAAATGATCCCACCATCAGAGCCAGAATGACTTTATATGTTTCTGCCAAGAGTTTTCTCTCTATCATTATATTCTTTTCAACTGTTACATTTACAGTAAAGAGTAAAACGTAGAGTAAAAGAAAAATAATTAACCTGCGCTCAACGCAGGCCAGGCATAAAGGCTACGGAGTGAGGTTTCTTACTTGGGCTTGTAAAAACCACACCACTGGATGATCTAGACTCTTGGTTTGCTCGACTGACAGGATTACGGGCGGAGGATTTCTGTTCCGTTTTTTTGGCACCAAATGATGATAAAGTGGGCCTACCCCAACTTTGAAAGAATAACAAAAACGCTCTTTATACTAGTGGTTAAAGTTAACTAAAAACGTTTCTCCTGTTTCCCATACCATGAAATGGCCTTTGCCTACCTAGTATGAAGTATCCCTATTCTTCAAAATAGTGGTAGCACAAGCATTACGGACATACGTCTCCCCTTCCCCCTTTAAAACGAAAATTCAGGTTGGGGAGGGAGGGAGGGAGGGGTACTTTTCACCAAGAGTGAAGTATTACTCCAAGAAAACAACTCAGCCTAATAAACCCAATTTTCACGACTACATACTCTTGAAAATATGTAGTGTGTAAAAGAAAAGGTCAGTCTATGGTTTGCAAAGTCATGGATCTGTGTTTTACTATAATTGTGGATATTTTAATTACATGGAAGAACTTGTAACTGTCATTCCTGTTGTAATTGTTCCTGTTGACTTCTTCAGGTAGTTATAGTCTTCTAAGCGCAATTCCTAGGTTAAAAAAGTGGATCAGTGAGTTTTTCTGCATCAAGCAGTATGAATTGGGAAAATATTTCTCCTGAAGATGAAACATCGTTTCAAGAATTACTGTCTATTCATTCTAATGGCTTGTGATCTCTGTTACGTGTTTTTCAGAAGAGAATCTCTCCACTGATCTCTCCTCTGAAAAACGCACAACCGTGAGAGTCTTCTTTGGATTGAATGATGTAAATCTAAACCAAACATTAACTCACTTGAAGTGACAACAACAACTGAATCAGAAAAAAAAGGAAAAACCAGTGGGAACTTAAAGTAATAATAATATTAAAAGAACTACAGCCATGAAATATGTAGTAATATACAAGTAATCAAGAGCTCAACATGACTCCATGGCAAGAGCGACTGCCAATAGGTTTCCAGAACAGTCACATAGAACTGTGAAGCAAAAATCAATGCAATTGCCGATTACTGTCAAGAAACAACTGAAACTTGCTCTAAATGCTTCTTAATTTTGTGAAGAAGCTTTAAAGCTATGACACTTGAAAGATATAATTCCCTCTGGGTGTTGCATCATTTCAACTGAGCCTTAATTAATGGAGTCTCATTTCAACCTGGGCAATAAGACTTTTCCTTGCTGTCCTTTCATCTCTTTGTGTTTGATCTTAATTGCCACCAAATAACAACTTAAAAGGAGACATAAGTCCTCAGCTCTTCATAAGATATCCCCAATTATTAAAAGCTGGATCATTGGATAATGCAATTCAAGACTTTTCATTGGCTTAGCCATTATGGTATATGAGCCAATAAACCATAATCTAATATCTGTACATTGTAACATCTGGTTTCTTCTTACAAAATAAAGTCGAGAAGATTTGTCTAATATTTTTGGGGCATTTTTTTTTAATAAAACAATTATTCTACTCGTGCTTGTTGGATATGAGATGACTATAGCCAACTAGGCACTACGCGCCTCGTTAGCTATCTATCATCTCATATCTAACGCGCGCTCGTGGAGTAATTGGTAATTATATCATATGTTTAAAGGAACAGATAATTAATTACAGTTACTGTTACCACCATCTAAAAGTAACTCAAAGGAAAATAATGAATCACTGAAAAGATTTTCTTACTCACATCAGTACTGTTTTTACAGTAAACATTCATTGCTGTAATGTTTTGAAGCCTTTCTTTACGAACACTGGTACATCCCCAAACTTGATCACCCAATGACTCTTCTGTGGCCTAAAAACCACAAAACATAAATTATAAATTAAATTATTAAAGATACATGTACACCTAATTGCTATATGGTTGTCATAGAAAAAAGCAAAAAGCAAAAAGCCAAATAGGAATTAATTACACCATGTGATTTATATTTGCATATTTTAATAATTTAACAGTCCTGTTATTGTGAATGACTTCTTAAATAATTGATAAATTATTAAAATATGCAAGTGTAAATCAAATGGCTAATTAATTCCTATTTGGCTTTTTGCTTTTTGCTTTTTTCTATGACAACCTTCGTGCAATTAGGTGTAGTTCTACATGATTTGAATTGGTGTCGAACTGACCAAAGAAAGATCTATGGCACAAAATTTTGCAACCCCCATTTCTGTCAATGAACGAAAACTTTACTTGATGAAATAATTTATGTGCCTATGTTAAAATGGAAATAAATAAACTATGTTATAAGTTTCAAAAGTTGAAACATCCACTCTTTCCCTCCCAAGATCTTATTTAATTGAGTATTTCTCCAACTGTCTGCCATACAATACTTTTGACAGTAGTTTGTGGAATTTGGTATTGGATCAGCTAATAATTCCCTGGCCCCGGTTGTTCAAAGGATGGATAAATTTAAAATATCATAATTGTGAAATGGCTTGATGACCTGGTTAACAAAAGTGTGAAATATAACCAAAAGCTGTAGGTTTGATTTGAGTGCAGTTTTAGCTATGAAAACATAATCTCTCACATTTATTCATTAATTTAAAAGCAGAATTCACAAATGATTATAATAATTAGCTTTATTCACATGTCGGTGTACTTTAGCCATGTGTTGATTGAGCTTATTGGGGACACAAAACATATAAATAAAGAAATATATCTAAATAAGGTACTGTTGAAGAGTTTAATTAGTCAGCAGAGATTTGCTTTAAACTAAACTAAACTGGCCTCTAAAATTCTCTAACTTACACTAAATTGAATAGGTGTCCCAGTTAATGTCCAGGCTGGGGGTAGAATTACTGAAACAGAAGGAAAGTAAAGTTAATATACTAGACATTTCAAAATTAAACAGCAAGCTTGTCAGAAAAGCATAGGAAGAGATGGTTTTCTTGAAGAGTTACCAAAGGAAATCCTCAAGTTAAACTGGTGTCAAGCATAATTCGATCTGCTTAACAAATAGATTCCATGTTGTGGTATGTCCTTTGATTAATAGATCACAGAAGACATCACTATGTGGTAACAACAAAAAGTAGCACCAATTTAGGTGCAACCACAGTTGTCACTGATTTTCTTACCACATTTTGACATCTCCTGTCATCTATCCCTTAGAAAATCCACATGGACACTACTTGTTTTGTTATGTTATGTACCCCTATTTGCCCCTCCCACTAATATGATTGAAAAACAAACCAATGTTATATAATTGGCTATGTATCAGTCACAAGGAAATTCAGATATCAAATTGATGTAGTTTAATACTTAGCTTACATGGAAGCAAGATTGTTTCTCCTGAGTAAGAAAGACTCTCTTGACTATCGTCATCTATATACACAACTTTTAAAGAAATACCAACTCTATTAGCGGACATTCTGGACAGCTCTGGAGACAATCACCCAATACTCATGCAGGTACCTGAAGTCAAGATAATAAACACTACTTAACAACACTAATTAGTAATGACAACATATTCACTCAAGCTGAAATTTAGAAATGATCATCTTTAACTCTTGGAAGTACCAGAAGAAAAAATGAAAAAAACTTTCTTACTACAAAAATTAATCATAACAACAGGTTAATTTCAACTGAATTAGTTTAACATTGACCTATGATAAGTTTGTACATTTTACAGAAATTTCAGAGCTTTTGCAAAACATTAAAGAGAGTCAAATACACAACGCAAGATGTCAAACAGGAAAAGCACCTTTTCAACACAACCCAAATGGTGCAAAGCCTAACAATTCTATTTAGACAATTCATATTCAGTGTATACCTAGCTCCACACACAGGGAAGATAGAAGTAAAATAATCTTGTGTTTAGTTCAACTTCTGTAGCACAGTGGGTATAAAACTAATAGAGGGGAAAGTCTCTCAGAAAATCTACTAACTCTGTAAAATACCTACCTGCTGAATTCATGTTTTTGACAATCACTCCCCAATTACCTGGGCTTGAGAATGGCTCATACTTTATACTGTATTATGAGTGTTCCTTCCCAGCAACTCATAACAAACCCTCAACATTCACCACGGAAAGGGGGAGGGGAGGGGAGGGAAGGGAATGTCAACCAGTTGAGGCCCAGTGTTTAACTCTTTCCTCATCGAGGGAAAAATGTTTTTGAAATTTCCAATCTTGTCAATGTCTTCACTCTGATGAAGGGCTAATGTTCGAAACATAGGCTTTTAAACACTTTACAGTGGCCAATTTACATTATCAACTCAGATGATTATCCCAAATTACTTTCAGTTGTTATCCCCACTGACGCAGCATCACAGTTTCTTTTAGAAACTTACCTATAAGACCGCCTCAGAGCTGTTGTTCATTTTGTCACACAACATCTTAAAAGAATGAGTTTCATGACAAGAGGGAATCCCATAATCTGATTGGCTACCCAAGCTGGCAAGAGGGGCCCATCTTTCCCACTCAGGATTGCCCACTTTGATCCCATGCAAGTGCTTGAGGCAGACTTACGGATTGTAATTTTTGTACAATGTCAGCAATGAAATTGCAAAGAACATACATTTTATTGAACACACCCCCGTCTGGGGCTTTTCAGTGAACATCAGAAGACAGTCGAAACAAAGAAAGCACAAACGACCCTTGTAGGTTTATTGTGCAACAAACACAGTTAATTGGCTTTCTTTACCAGCTCTCGAAATAAACAAGCGATTCGTGATTCTTATTTAAAAGCAAAACCTTTTTGCAATTTAGTAAATCCATTATTGACCAAGATTTTTCTGTCAAGAGGGCTGGAAATTAGTCATGTTCTTTCTTTCCGTTATTATTAAGGAACTCGATCTCGTCTCGGTCCTTAAAATTTAAAAAAAGGTATCTGGGCCAAAATCCAGCCATCTTGGCCACACGCTTGGTCCATAAGCCATTCAACATTCAGTAGGTTGGCTTCACAGAAAGGTTGATGGGTTGCCTCTCTGGATAACTCTGAAGACTTGGTCATACAAGCCGATCACTCTGGTTTGTTGTGCAATGATCACAGTAAATACTGCTGCACATTCAGTAGAAGAATCAGAAAAAAGGTTTAAGTGCATGTTTAGAATTGAAATTTTCTAAAAGATTTCCACGATTTATTCTCTTATTCTGTAAATACAAAATTAAAGAGTTTCTCGTTCTTTTCCTGCCCGTTTTCCATGGGTGAAAGAAGTCTAAAAAGCTACACCAGTCACACGAAAATTAAAATTGCCAACTGCACTACGCACAACTACGGCTAACAACACATAACGGTCAACCATGAATGAGGCAAAGTGCCCGATGATTTAATTACAACGACTGTGATATACACTCGAAACTGTAGCTGTTATCTGCGATACAACTTGAAAAAAAACAACAACAGCTGTCAGTTTAAATTTGCTTTGCTCACAAAGAATCGAAAGTAATTTGCTTCCGCCCGAGCTATTAAAACGAGCTAAACCCACAATGGAAAATTTAAGTGCTTTGCTGATCTTCACTAAACACTGCAAGCTGAGCTTCATCCTACAACATAAAATAATTAAAATAAAAAGTACATACACACCTCAATTGGTCTCTGTAAATGATAGTGAATGTACGTTACCTGCGAGAAGTCGTTGCAATACAACATGAACAATTCCCGAAAAGCCTTATGGGACAGTACAGCCAAGGTTCAGTAAGGCGTCAGCAAGTAAGAATATTTTAAAAAGCTAATTTCCAAGAAATAAAAATCTACATAAACTCTACCTAACGAAGTTAGCGATGCGGCCTGAATCAGGTAGGCATGCCTGATCTATCTACGTCGCTTCAATCACGAAAAATAGTGACATCTTTCCGCAAACGACGTCGTAGTCGTGCAAACTCGTCATCTATCTTTCTTCCTTTTATTGTCAATTTTTTTTTTGGAAAAGGAGACAATGACGCTCCTTTGTTATCATTTCTACCGTTGTAAAATACTTGATTCAGGTTGAATGGCCAGCCGTGGTTTTATTGTGAAATTAATTAAGATAGAAGAGACCCATGCCAAAAATTCACCGTTCCAGTTCTTTCAGTAATTAATGTTGAAATTCAAGGATATTCACCTCCCACGGAAAGTTTAATTTTTCCCATGTCCGATGATTTACTATTCAAATAAAAAAGGAATGGATGGATGGTGTATCAAAAGAGTGGTAGTGATAAAAAAAAAAAAAAATGCGGTTTTGACCGGGGTACATGGTAAAATAGACTGTTAGGATAGTTGATAAAACGCAAAGTCTCCACAAAAGTTAGGTTCAAAGCGGTCGACGAGGGCAAAAGGAGTCAGATCACCGCACAGTACGCAACTATCGGTTTGTTTGTAGACAGTCAGCTGGAACTGACTTGATCGACTTCATCATCAGTTTTGATATCTGGGTTCAATAAATTAACAGTTTCTTTCGAGCTATTCTGCTCGTAAAATCCTCGAGTAGTGTCTACATTTTCCATAACCTTGGAACCGTTGTCAGATGCAATCTCCGTGTGAGTGTTCACGGCGTCGACATCTTTGGGAATGCTCTCGGTATTGACATCTGTGGGAATGCTTATAGCCCCGTTATACTGGGGGATGTTTACCATTCCGATATCATTGGGAATGTTTTCACCATTGTTCTGAGGAACGTTTATAGTTTGGCAATCATTAGGAAAGCTCCCGTCTTCACTGTCCATGAGAGCATTCACATTATCGAAACCTTCTTTGTCATTTCCCTCCACAATTTCACCCTCATCTCCTCTAGATTCAATTTCTAAATTTCGAGGATTTACAGAAGACTCATCAACGGAAGCTTCTTTTATCTCCTTGGTATTCCGTTCTCCAGTTTGCAACTCGGTTGGGTCAGGTTTCTGTTCGAGTGGTTCAAACCGACTTCTTCTTCTCGGGCCATCCGTAGATGCATCCCGTTCACCATTGACGTTTCTGTTTGACCGATGGTCATCACGCTCACGTCGCCGGTCATCACGATCGCGATCACGATCACGCCCTCTTTCACGGTCTCGGTCACGTTCACGATCGCGAACACGACCACGAAAACGGTCATCCCAATCTCGACCTCGCCCACGATCATCGCGTTCTCGACGGTCACGATCATCACGATCACGTCCACGATCTCGATCCCGAGCTCGTTCACGATCTCGATCCTCATGCTCCCTTCTTGGCCTCCGGTCTCGCTCTTCATTGGGGATATCCAGGGATTTATCTGGGTTAACTGTGTTAATCTCTTCCTTAGGCTCTTCACCTTCTTTTTTGCGCTGCTCATTCCATTCTTCGGGTGCCTCAGAATTATGAGCATCCTCTGGTGGTCTGCTCTCCGGCCAACCAGGAGGTGGAATGCCATGAGGTGGTGGGCCTCTCATGGGACCATGCCCTGGTCCCCATGGATTTGGACCAGATGGGCCAAAGTCTGGAGGGCGCATTGGTCCTCCAGTGGGCACGAGAGAAGGTAGATCATGAGGGAACCTTGCTCCTCCTGGATGAAAACGTGGCATTCTGATGTGATGAGGTCGGAATGGGTGTGGTCCGTGATGCATGGGAGGGAGATGGGTGTCCGGAAATCTACCAGGATGGTGAGGAAAAGGCGGCCCATCCTGAGGTCTAACGGGATTGTGTGAGGGATGTTGTCCTCGTTCATGAGGTCTACCAGGATGATGGGGAGGGAACTGATTAGCTTCATGCAGTCTGCCCTGGTGATGAGGTGCCAACTGACCATCCTCATCTTTGGGAGGAAACTGACTAGAATCTTGTGGAAGCCCCGAAGAAGGGAATCGGCTTTTTTCTGACTGGAACTGCCCTCCTTCTTGTGGTCTGCCTACGTTTGGCGATGGACCTGGCGGGCCTTTATGAGTTCCTACAGTAGGTGGTCTTGTTGGATTAAACTGATGGAGTGGGGGACCACCTATATTCGGAGGTGGTACTCCAGAAATATGTGGAGGCGGTGCTCCTGGTGGTACCATGTTGGGAGGTAGACGAGCTCCAGGAAACGGATGCTGCATCATCATTGGTGGAGGAATCATAGGAGGATGTCCTGGGAACATGTGGGGTCCTGGAGGGGGAACGTGAGGCGGGGGCTGTCCGATTGCGTTCACGGCTTGAGGTTGCTCTGAACTCTTTTCATTAGTAGCTGCCTGAGCGGCTGCCAGCTTCATTAGCTCTTCCTGACTCATGTTTCCAAGATCTTTGTCATCTTTAAAGGTATTGGTATCTGCACTGCCGGCCTCTGATCCTGTAGAAGACCATAAAATATACATTAAGGATGTCATACAAACTATCAAACGTGATAAATTTTCCTTTTTTTGTACTTAAGACACTGTGGGACTCTATAAGTTTATTGCCTTTTGAATTAGAGTTTCAGAAGCCAAGACATATCTACTCTTTCTTTTAACTACAAAATTAAAGAATCAACTCGACAAATCAGATTTCTGACTCAGAGATAAAGGTCAAACTACACGTACCCTCCTTCGTGGTGTTCTGATGTCCTGGTGGTACAGTTTCCGGGTCAATCCAACTTCCTTCACTCAGTGCCTGTAGATCCACATTAGCTCCCAGCTTGCCCCAAGGGATGAAAGCTACACCCTGCTCCGTATCGAAATGTTCTTTGTATTCTCTTCCTTTCACTCCTTTTCCAGGTGCCCAAGCCAACTGCAACAACACATCAACATTGTCATTGTTTTGATGACTATTATTGGATTAGGTCTTTCAGGATGGGGAAAAGAGTACTAAATAATCCTAGAGTTTTGACAACTAATAACCTGCAGGAAATTCAACCACGTTCTTGTTGCTCCTGAGACTTCCTTCCAATCAATCTGGCTTAAGATGTTTTGCAACAGCAGATATTATCTGAAGCAACAACATAATTTTTGTCATTCATGCTACTGCAAACTTTGACAGTGATCATGTGGGACCTCAAATTTGATGTTTTTAAAAAGTTACCTTACATCTCTATTTAATAGTTTGTTCCAAAAAAAAAAAAAAAAAACCTTAGGCCCATAGAATTAAAATGCAGATTCTGAAGATCTTCCCACACTTACACCTTGGATGAACCACACTCCAATATGTAAAGATGTGATGAGTCTAATACAAACCTTTAGGGAGTTACCATGAAGCCTTTCATTCTTTAAAGTAACCAGCACCTTAGAAGCTTCTTGTCTTTCTGCCATCACAACATAAGCACAGCCTCTGGGTGGGACCATCTGCACAAATTAGAAAGGTCATTGATCAAGACAATTTAATCAGCACTTAACATAATACAGTGTATGTGAGTAAAAGTCATCCAAAGAAAAGGACTGTAATGTGTTTGTATCCTTAGGATCAACATTACAGACAGAAACTCAACTTATGGAAATAGAACCTGAGAACACTCAGGCTTGATCAGGTTATTAGGAGAGTTATTAATTATTAGAACATAGCTAGCTGAGTCGCGCAATCAAATTCATTATACGTAAGCGTGCTCAAAATCCCGATAGTGCACGCTGATAGCCTCAGCAAATCCGACTTCGCCAGAACTTTTTTTTTCGCGCGAGCGGCCATTGTTAGCGCAGAGAAAAATAATATATTTCGCGACAATAATGGATACAAACAGAAACTCGGCCTACTAGTCCGAAAACGAAGACAATGTTTCGACCTTTTCCCTTGGGCTAGAGTTCTTAAATGAGGCAGAAAAAGAGAAAAACAAAGGAAAAGGAGACTCGGCATCAGCGCCGTCACGATTCGCTTCAACTGATATTGTTGTCC